AGCCCTTACACAGCTACGTGAGTTTGAGTAGAGTGCCTTGATTAGTGCAATGTACTTTCTTGGCACTCGCTTCACAGTCAAACATTGCCATAGTACCTCTCGTTCCACGGAGTCGAAGGCCGCCTTCAAGTCAAGAAATATGGCAATTGTTGGACGCCTAAAAGTGTGTCTATGTTCTAGGATAAGTCGGAGAGTGAAGATATGATCTATGCACCCTCTACCTGGCCTAAAGCCCGCTTGATTTTCCCTCGTTTGTTCCTCCCGAGTTCGGCTTAGTCTGTGTGTGATGATTACTGAGCCTAGGATTTTAGATACTATGTTCGTTAGGCTGATTCCTCTATGATTATCACATGAGGACTTGTCTCCCTTCTTGAAAATCGGTATAATAAGTGACTTACCCCAGTCTGATGGAACCGTCTCTGATTCCCAGACGTTACCTAGTACCTTAGTTAAACTATATACTAATATGTCACCCCCCATATTTAAACACCTCCGGAATAATTCCGTCGGGTCCTGCCGCTTTGCCTCGTTTCAAATTACAGATAGCCTTGGTGACCTCACTTACAGACGGCGGGCCAGTGTCTATATCCCATTCGGGTGTGTGCTGGATGGTGGGGAGGCTCAGTGTGGCTGTAGGCAAGTTAAACTGTTCCTCGAAGTGTTCTTTCCAGCGTTCGAGGCGTCTATCCTGAGAGCTAATTAAGGAGCCATTTTTCTCAGAAATAGTCTCACTTATGATTTGCCTTCTCCCACCCGTTTCCCTGATGAGTCTAAAGAGTTGCCTAGTGTTGCCTATCGCCGATGCTTTTTCCATCTCTTTCGCCTTTGTCAACCACCACTGTTCACGGTCCTTGCGGAGACTTTTCGTAAGTTTCCTTTTGTGCAGCTTTCGCTCCTCATTGAATTCGGAGCTCGCCGGAATAAGTCTTCTAGCATCTATCAGTTCGGATGAGGCAGTCGGAATCCAATGGTTTTTACTCACCTTTGGATTTACCTTATTCACAGCTTTTACAGCTGTATCTATGGCTGATTAAATATTCTTCCAGGCTTCTTCAGGGTGAGCGCAGCTGTCGAACTCAGATATGTGTTTAGCTAGTTCTTCCTCAAATAGGGACTTAGTTTCCTGATCGAGCTGGGGACGTGATGGTTTTACCGCCAGCTGTTTCCCATGTCCGTTCAGTCGTAAGCATACACGAGCGCGGACCAGTGCGTGATCGTTATCTACACACGTGTTCCAGAAGGAGTGACAATCTCCTACCGACCCACGCCAACGATAGCTTATTGCTATGTGGTCTATTTGTGTCCAGTGTTGGTTTGATGATGGAGGTCGGCAGGTCAAAGAGTGTCTCTCCTTGTGTTTGAAGTTAGTGCTTACAAGAAACAAGTGATTAACTGAACAGAACTGTAGGACGGTCACCGTTGTCGGTTCGCTGGCACGGAGCTCCGTATGTGCCACCGACATTCTTCTCAGATTGACACAATTTCTCCACTTGAGCATTAAAGTCACCAGCTAAAACGACTATATCTGAGCGTTTAGCCTTTCGCAGCAAACTAGACAGCTTTTGATAGAACTCATCCTTCGTTTCATCCGAACTGCAGTCAGTGGGGGCGTAGGCGGAGATTACGAAAAGGCATCGGCGAGTAGTGCAGTCCTTTCTCCTTTTCACTGATCCGTTCAGACGGACAGCACACATTCGGCTATCTACCGGGATCCAGTCACGTAAGGTCTTTTCTGCCCTAGTACTCAGAGCTATCCCAACACCAGCTAATCCTCGTGAGCTAGCTGTGGTATCTCCTGACACCATCAAGGTGAATTTTGCAGATTCATCCTGTTGGCCGGGTGGGGTTAGGTGAATAACCACACTTGGGTCTTGTATGCGTGTTTCTGAAACACAACATACATCAATGGCTCGGGATGCCAGAGTTTTGGCTAGTGATGCCTGTTGTCCTATTTGGCAAAGTGTCCTAACATTAAATGCCCCTATATGAAATTGGTGACGTGGCTTTAGGAGACTATAGATGGTGGCTTTTTGGCTTCCGTCGTTTTCAGTGCACACAGAGTGAAGAGGAAGTGAGGAGCCATTAAGTAGAGGAGTTACATTGGTAGAAGGAAGGTAAGATAATAGAGATGAAGATGAAGACAAAGGTGAGTGAGGAATAGAGAGGTTTCGCGTGCTCTTCGGGTTGTGAGGGCGATTGTTACTTCTCGGCTGCCCACACCGTGGAAGTTGGTTGCGTGACCGCAGAGCCCAAGGGACAACTGCTTGAGGCCGGTCACACATGGCCTGTTTTTGTTTGTTGTTTTTTATTTGGTGTGTCTCAGTAGCGTATTTATCACTTCTGCCCTGTGACACGGCAGCAGAAAGCGCGGTCGTTGTTAATCCGGGCCCCGACCGATCCGGCATGATATTTTGTGATTTGATTGAGGTCATAGGGTTAGATTGGGTAACTGCTTTTAGTCTAACCGCTATCCAAACAACCTTCCTGCAGGACCTGCAGGAACATAAGTTCCAGCCAGTATAGCTTTTGTTGGGTCATTGCGGTGTTCAAGCCCGACCACCACGTCAAGGTAGGAGCTTTCGGTCGGGCTAATATAATGCGCTAGCAAATAAGGTACACTTAAAGATAATGCAATAGCTACGAACAATGGTGCAATTGCCCAGAGTAGCACGAGCATCTTGTCGATGATGTAAGATTTCATCGTGGAAGATCTCTAAACGATTGCGCAACCACCAAGGAGGTCCAGTTAGAATAAGTAAAATAGACACTTTCAAGAGCATCGTACCGAACATCCAATGCTAAAAACAAAGAAAAGACAAACATCAACTTAGGTATTGTAGTATATAGTGCGTCATACTGCAATAAAGAATATTTGAAGCTTAGAATGCCGATGAGAATTGTTTGATGTCATTCAGCCTTTGAAATTCTATCCTGAACCTGACTTGGTGACATCTCGAAAATCGAACAGTTCACAGACATATTTCACTACTGAAGGAGATGACATATTTGCATTCAGACAATGTGAAAACGAGCAATATAATTCCTATTTGATCGATTTTATGAGTCTAAAAAGGTTGTTTGACTAGACCAGAAAACGCACGTAATTCAGTAACCGACTAATTTATATTATAATATAAAGTCTTAAATAATTGTAATGCTCAAAATTTTGCCGGTCATTGGCAGTTCTAATTTTAATTCGCTAAGAACACTGACGCCTTGAATTAATGAAATTTGAAAAACTGAACTGCAAATATCACTATCATGTGGTATACAGATGAATGAATCTGTTAATGTCGGATCTATTTCCTTCTAAAGGTAAAAGTGCTTTCTTAACATCTAATTTTTAGCATATGTGAGAGGAAAGCGTTTGTGAAGTGAATATATGTTTCAACATTTCAAGACCTATGTTTATCAGTGTAGAGGTATGTGAAAAGACAATCTTTGGAAAAAAACATGTTGAAATTCGCAAAGTTGGTGTGTCTATGCACAAAATGTACAGTTAACCTTATCGAGGATTAAGGATTTCACAGAACTTGATCACTTAGACCTGGAAACATACATCATTTATCATGTAGTCTCGCTAAATGTTTTGCAATGAAATATAGAATATATATTAGCACAAGTAACACTAAAACATAGGAATCTACATTACAGCATTATTTTATTCCTTTGCGTTCCGAGTGGGACATAGGGTTTCAAGCTTGAGGTTTGAAGATCCAGTTGCAGTAGTGCTTGTTTCTTTACGCAGCGGAGCGGATAGGCACAGGCCTAAATTCCTTCATTGCTGGCTAAGCGAGGTTAAGGAGTACGTCGGTCGGGGACCCAACCCAGGACCACGTGCATCACTGAACGAACCACCAGCGCACACATAAAGCATTGTTAAGAACTATATGAAAAGCGTACCTCCCAGAATCCAATGACAATAGATATTCTAGCTACAACGGGGAACGGCACAATGAAGATAAAATTAACCAATAGTCCTAAGGCTGTTGACAGGATGCCAAGTAGTACAGCCGTGACAAGTGAGAGCCGTAACCAATTCAGTGAAGCGTGAAAACAATTTTGAGCACATACTCCGATATTTGTGTCGGTGAAAAATCTAAATCCACAACGCCGATTAAGACCAGCCATTGGCACTGCAGGTCTTCGTATAGTAATTTCACAAGTCGTACGCAAAGGAGTCTAAATCCTAAATACACGCAATGGCCTTGACCAGGAAGTAAGATTACTACATTGTCCAAGTAAAGTAATGATATGCCATAACCCAGTGAAAGCGAAGGTATGCTGCAAACATTAAAATAAAAGACATTTTGCAACTGTAAGAAAACATAATAATAGTATTAGTTGTGGTAATATGGTTGCTGAATTCATAAGCTCAGTGAAACGTTACTCTACAACAACGACTGGACTCTACTGTTATATCAGCGATTAGATATCAAATAATCAACATCAGATGTGATGTATTTGCGCAGTATATTTTGAACAGTGTGGTCACACATTGGCTTGTCTACTCAGTTAATACGACAATTGAAAGTTATATAAACAAAATGGTGGGAGGAGAGTGATTGACATTGTTTAACAATATAATCAGATAATGATTATCAAGACTAGCTAAGTGCAACAGTTAATTTTTTTCGCATACACAACGAGGGCTTAATTTGAATCATGACTATCAACTCAGCATATTTTGGTATGCACCATTGACGGTTTTGTATGGACTTATGAGAGCCGTTATGATATCAATCTTATGATTTGTGCTAGTAATATGCTTTTATATAGCTGTTTTTCAACAAATTACTTTTCAAATAATTTTAATAACGTTATCTATACTTATTATTCGCCTTTCAACGGCTTATTTTTATATACACATTAGCACGAGTCAAGCTCTGCAGTATATAGCTACACTAGTTGCCAAGCCATTTAAGTACTAACACTGAATAATTATAAGAAGTGTAAATACGATAGTAGCGAAGTGAACTTACCAAGGAGCCAAGCGAAGCATCAGTCCCAGGACAGTAAAGCCGCCAACTAAAGCAATTGCATCATGCTTTGACGTAGAATCTGTTTCTTTAAAATTCAACAGGAATCGTCCATGCCGACAGGTACAATCAGTCGAGCTAGACTTAAGGACATCAAACTAATGAGCAATAAAATAATTAGGCCGAAAATTCGCAGTTTCAGGCAACTGGTTTTTTGTAGGGTACATAGCGTGTAAAATCTTCCTCGTCTGTATAACCATCATCTTGCGCATCAACTTCAGGTTGTACATGTTCATGGGAGGGATTATTAGCAGACGAATTTCCTTCATTGGATGATGAAACTACAGTATATAATTCTGCTTGAAGATTACGAGCTTCGTTATTTGATGTTGTTTGCGATGAATATACAGGATTCAATTCTTCGTTGGCACGATTACTTGACGTCTGTGCTTCATTCCGTGGATACTGTCCAGGTTTGAAGGGTACTTCTCTGCCATTTTCAGTTACAATAAAGTCCTAGATGAAGAATATAAAGGATGTATATATATCACTTTATTTAATATCAAGATTATTGCCTTATTTGTAGTATCCCCATAGCCTCATTTCAATTGGAGGTGTTCGCAGTTGGTTAGATGAGCGAAGGTGCGGAAATATCAACCTAAATTACTTATTTCGAATTAAAGCTATCGGTATATGTGCAGTTTCTAAGCAGGAACTTAGCTTATCAATGTGAAATTTTAAATTTACGAAGCAAATACACACAAATTATAATGCAATGTTAAATATTTTTTTCGACTAACCCCAGGTGAAAAAGGCACATCTCCCAATAAGTAACTACGCAAACCCAATAACCAGGCTACGCTTACACACCACCAACGTAATAACTGACGGAAACTGGCTTTCGCTTGAACATCTAATAAGAATGGAAGTACAACTTGCAGAAGGATCATTTCCAATGAATCCCATGGACTGTCACTTAAATAGAGAAAAAAAGAGACCTAAAGGTGTACGAATAAGACTTCTTCAAAGTGCAGAAGCAATGGCGATTCACTTGCTAAGTTCTGAACTCTGCATACAGAAGAAGTTTGTTCAATCACTACACTTACAATGAACGTAATCTATCTTATTAGTCGACAAGTAAATTCTACCTAATCTTTTCTTCTGTCTCTTCATTAGTATTATTTTGCCTTCTCAATTGTAATATTTTACATCTTCAACTTTCTTGTTCTCTACCCCCCACCCGATTCAATTTCTACACCTCACTACCACTGTTACTGACTTGAACATCGCCCAGTTTCTAGTCATTTATGTCACGTCATCCAATTTATTTACTCAATTTCACTTCACTTAATCTCTACCTGTAATTACCTCTGTTGCTATCCTGACCTAAGTTGTAACATTTTAGTCAATTATATTACGTCATCTAGCTTACTAACTCAATCTTACTTTAGTTGCTGTCTGATTAACTTTGTCTCTATACTACATCATTCTTGTATTAACTAATCAATTATCTAAACTTGACAAACCTCATGTACACACACACACAAATATTTATATATAAATGCGATTGTACAGCTATGTGAATGAATTCGCCGAAAAGAGTCTCTTCGCTGAATGTCTTCTCTTTTTCATAAGACATAAATATGACAGGAAAATGAGCTAAACTAAGTTACAATAAAATATATAACACGATATTTTTTCTACTAAAGTAAAATTCCCGAGAAGCCATACTACAACAAACACTTCAGTGAAATAAGTCCAAATGCTACAATTGTATAGATAACTCAAGTGCAGCCACTTCACCCTGATGATGTGTAAATTAGTTAGTAAATGAAAGTATTCGAAGCATGACAAAAGTATGCAGTTTCCACATGAGAATTAATGATGCATTATTGTAAAATATTTGAAAAATAATCACAACGTCTATTGATTTTACTCTTTATTAATTAATACACACTGCTCAACAACTGAGTATGCTTAATGTATTAACACCCAGACTTTCTGAACGTATTTCATATTATTTAGCCTTAGTCTAAACTCACTAATCTTCACCCTCTTGTTAGAATTGTGATTGTAATTTCAGGTAGTTTGCAGCTGATGAGAACCTGTGAAATAGAATGATATCATTTTATACTGCAAATCTGGTCTTTCTTTCTCTATCGAAATAGAATTGTGATTATTCATAACTATTTTGAAATATTCTGACGATATAAACAATGCTCCAAACTAGTTTTTATCCTTGTGCTTTGTACATACATACGTAGATATTTATTTGTATTGGTTACGTATTCACTTAGGAGGAACTCTCTGCTGAACTGTTTGTTCTTTTTTAATGTCTAGACGAGTATTTTTTTAGCGATAATATTAACGTCTCGACTCCGTGAACTTACTGTATTTGCTTAGTTATCATGAAGTGAATTCCGTAATCAGTTACCTGAGTGATCAAGGTTTAACTTCTCTGGAAAATAAACGTTAAATAACACCTAGTGGTTAATCAGTGTGAAAGCCGAAAGAGATACCTGGTTCATAATTAAAATCGCCATTATTGTAGTGATAACAAGTGGTAACCTGCTGTTAGGAAAAAAGTTTACTTCGCGATGTACGTGAAGTAGCCATTGATATGATTATATAATGCACTGGATTTTGAAGTCCATCTAGTGATCATTATTTTATTTTTTTTGATTTTTTTATTATTTTGATTTACAGCTTGATTCCATACCGTATTTTCAGTACAAGTATGGAATTTTCAGCATGGATATCGGTAACCCAAATTCAGGCCGACCATAGATATCGGGTGTGCGCCGGCAGGGGATCGAACCCCGGACCATGTGCATGGTCGGCGAGAGTCCTAACCACTGTGCCACCGACGCACTTTTGAGGTATTCTCAATTCCTCATAAGGCTTATATTCAGCATTTTCAATTACTGGGTGATATTTAAAAACTGCCTATGATGAAAAAACAATACAGTATTGCTTATATGATACTTTTTAGTCCCAAAGGAATGAAAAGTGATCAATCAACTGATTTATCTATTAAACCAACTTGAGGAGTTCATAATGAGGCTGTAACTTAATATAGGTGTGTTTTATAACGAACCATGAAAATGTAATCAAAAAAGACGCAATTACATATGCCTGTCTGTTGAAAGCCTGACTAAGGGATAGTTACATTAAAAGCCACAACAGGCTATATGAGCTCGGATGAAAAGATAAAAATTCGAATTAGAAGGGACTAAAAGTCAGTAAATGCATTTTACCGTTTGATAAATATATAAATATTTATCACTTTCATTCAAAAAAGTTCCCCACCATGCAGATATACAATTTCGGCAACTTTTTAGCCTAATGAAACTATTCGTCCTAACAGGTTCAAATATTTCCTTAAATTTTACGTAAGGTAAACTTCCTTGAGCGAATAAATGTGTATGTCAAAAATTTTATTGATAAACGAAGGGAAATTCTAACAAAGTCTCCATATTATATGACATTTGAATCAAACAAAGCAACACCTAGAATGAATGACCGAATTTTAGTTCACAATATTTAGATAGTCGCTGAAGTGGATGTAGGATTATTTTTGTCCTACAGATTTAGTCCTTCCTCAATACTGACGACACAGAGTCTGGGCTTAACTACAGTTAAAACAGAATGACTTGACTTTAACTTTATCTGTTTCTAAAACATAAAATAAATCATACAATTACACCAAGAAAAATGTACAAATCCACTGTCCTTACAAAAAAAAGAACAAAAACGTACCGAACAGTATTGAAGGTACGGACAAAATGAACAGTCAATTAATTACATGTATACAAAAATAGAGTGACAGACAAAAAAAGAACATTCAAGGTCATCTCGTGGTGAGAGTTACAATAAATTGACCAATAATCGCGACAAGAAGGTCACATCATATTGATTAACTGTCTATCATATAGTCTATCTATCTGTCGCGATTAACACTCCCCGCGAACGATCACCACGTTGACTTCTTGTACTTGGAACCATAAAGTTGTCTGCTTCTTCCAGCAAACATACGCTTCTTATATCTTGTTCCACTTCTTGAGTTGAAGTTTTCAAACACACTGTCCTGACGAGGCCATCTTGGTCATAGTACATCTGCTTAACTATAGCCTTTCGCCAGAGACCTCTGTGTGTCAGCACTGTTAACTAGGACGAGATCATCAGGTTGTAGGTTGTGCTTTATATCCAACCACTTAGATCTTGTTTGCAGCATCAGGAGATATCCACGTAGCCATTTATGCCAGAGCAAATCAGTCAAATATTTTGGAAGTAGTTGACTATAGTGTTGGAAGAAAGCATATCCATACATAGCATTCTCTTTACCTTTGTAATATTGTAATTTTCTTAAGAATTCACCAATTGCTGAACGAGCCACAGTTAAAAGTCTTTTTGGATCCAAGGAAATACACAAATCAGATGCGTCGTCCTCACCGACTACTTTATGTGTACGTCCCGTAGAATCGTCAGCTTCAATCAAAACTCGCAGAATCGCATAACAAGCACAATAATGTGCTTGACACCATGATCCAATGTCATCAGCATTTTCTGCTGGAGAATAAAACTCCATGGAAGTTACAACTGAAGGGATCATTGACAACCAATTAATATAGACTACATCTGGGACATCGCCTTGAGCACAGTTGGTATTCAAACCGAACTGCTCCAGAACAAGAGGTAAATCAGTTAAATAAATTCCAACGCACTCAGCTTGACACTTGTCTATTGCAGATGAAAGGTTTGAAAACTTGCTGTCATACGTTTCTCCTGCTTCACACCAACCTTTTACAGGATCTGCATTTATGATATATTCAGTAGTTTTCATGTGGAAATTTCGTTTTCCATAACAATCACGCCGAAACAGTTTACCTGAACCGTATCCCATCAGTTCATGAAGTCCAACTTGTAATTCAAAGGAACTTTCAGCATGTTCCACGTACATCCGTTTGTCTTCATTGCGTAGAAATTTTGATTTAGGATCCTCGAGACGAACACTAAGTACATCATCCAAAGAAACATTTTAAAATCCATCGTACATCATCATAGTTAGGAATATTAGTTCTAACAGGAATTCCAGCAGTTTCAAACGTCGCTACATCCAAACTAGTAAAGTCTGGCTGTAAGAAATTAACTTTTTCAAACGTAGAAGGCCATGGTAAACTTGTTAACAACCTTTCAGCATTATTTACAAGTCGTTGGAATTTTGTTGACACTGATCTATTTACAACAGCTACAAATGATTCAAACTTTGCACGAACACCAAAGGGATCACGGTATTACTCTATAAACCCAATATACTTTTCAACAATAGGGTTCTTATCTTTAACCCATAACCTGAAGGCATCTTTGTGAGTGGCTACTGAGCCAATAGTGAAGCTTTCAGCAAATTGATGCCACATTTCTGATTCGATTTGTTTAAGCGAATGTGCTTTGAAATCTATACAGCAATCGACTAGTAACTTCATCAGCTCACTATAGTCACCATATTCAAGCTGCAAAGATGTGTCCGAGGGAAGGGCATCTCTTAACTTCTCACGACGTTGACTTAGAGGGATTTGCAGGTCATGGTAACGTTGGACTAACTGTCTTTGTTCTTCTTGGATAATAGAAGCGTCGAAATGACTTTCTGCAGCAAGCGTGTCAGCCTGGACTTTGAATGTATCTATACGTTCACGATGAGTAGCTACATCAGATTCAAGCAAGTTGTGCCGCTTTTTCACGTATCCAGAAAAGTATCTCGTCGATTTGGCGTAAAAACTGGACAAATTTAAGCGTTAGGTTATTAAGACGTGATTTTTCTCTGAAAATAGCCATAAGCCTTTCCCACAGGGCATGCAATTCATCAAGACGGTTTTTGATAATATCTGTTGCGTAGTACCCCTGGCCAATCATTTCTTCTCCCGCAGAATCCAGAGCTGACAGTGTTTCAGCATGAACTGTTACTTCTAACACAAACTCTGTTTTTTTCAGCTGAAGACTGCTGAGCTCTTTAAAATCCTCGTTTGCATAGGTTTGCAGTTTTTCATTGATCCAACACTCAAGTTCATCGGCATCCATCTTAAAATATTGATATCTTTTAAGCATGTCCAGAAACTTAGATATGGTTCTGGTGAACTCATCATTAGCAGATACAGAGACTTTATGAGAAGTAGAAGGTTTGTAAGGCGATTTATTGTGACAAGAACATTCGCGGCTACCTTGTCGTAATCTTTCTAATTCCATTTCTTTCTCTTTTTGGACTATGCGCAATTTCGCTAGCTCCAATTCTACCATATAGCGTGATTCATACTCGTTGCTTCCAGGGAAATCAGCTTCATTACTCTTTTCTAACTGTGGAGTTAACGACGGCATAGTTTCATAACTTTCGTCTGCCAATACTGTTCGAAACTTTGTAGGATTATTTTTGTCCTACAGATTTAGTCCTTCCTCAATACTGACGACACAGAGTCTGGGCTTAACTACAGTTAAAACAGAATGACTTGACTTTAACTTTATCTGTTTCTAAAACATAAAATAAATCATACAATTACACCAAGAAAAATGTACAAATCCACTGTCCTTACAAAAAAAAGAACAAAAACGTACCGAACAGTATTGAAGGTACGGACAAAATGAACAGTCAATTAATTACATGTATACAAAAATAGAGTGACAGACAAAAAAAGAACATTCAAGGTCATCTCGTGGTGAGAGTTACAATAAATTGACCAATAATCGCGACAAGAAGGTCACATCATATTGATTAACTGTCTATCATATAGTCTATCTATCTATCGCGATTAACAGTGGACATAACTACATTGAAGTGAAGGCAAAAGAATAAGATTATTTAGTCATTAAAATAATAAGTAGTATGCCGAATCAATGAAACTGGTGCTTGTCGGCCAAACGCAACATGCTTTTATTGTGCACTTCTACATGCAGTATTTTCATACAGTACAAGAATAAACGGGCCTCGAAATGGTGATTACATGCTGTCATTTGATTTTCATCTAAGGGACTCAAATATTTTTATTAACATACCGTTCACAGAGTGTATGACTGAAATAGCTGTGCAAGACATTTTGCATAAAAACATTAGCTCTCTTGCTTCAAGAATATCATTACCTAAATAAAATGAAAGATGAAATTTTACGATGGGAATTTCAGTATTTCATATGTAAATTCTTTTTCCTTGGTTTACTACGTCCCAAGTGTTGCATACTTTGTGAAATATTACGAAGATATATGCTTTTTCGTTGCTGCAAATAAAGTTAATACTCGGAAAGTATCGAAATCTATTAAGAAATGAACTTGGTGCATATATAAATAGCTGTGCAAAAGATGTTTGTTTACGGCATTATATCTACCAATATACTGTAAAGTCCCCATAGATTAATAAATTTGCGTTTCGTTAAAGTTGAAAAAAATTAGCTTACTTTGGGAATATTTCTAAGTTTCCTTCGTTCTGACCCATGGAATAGGGCGTTTTGCCTTTGCAAAAATGTGCTTAAGCTAAATTGTTCACTAATTCACTTTACTGAGAGTTTAGGGGAACCTACTGAGAACCAAAGTTTATTCGATAAAGATGTAGGAACTTTTCAAACTGATAAATGCTTTCAACCTGATTTTGTGTCTGTATAGACCCTGGTCTAGAGAAAGGCAATGACTGTATCGTTAAATACTAACCTTCTAAATCTGACATACCGGATGGCTTCACCAGCTGAAATGCGGTTATTAAATACCAAGTAACAAGCAATTATTACACCAGTGCGACCTGAAAAATGTTAAGAGTATATGTCAACAAACCTAGGCCAGCATGGCAGTGAATAGCGACTTTCCCTTTTAGTATTGAAAACTGAATTACTACTACAGTGTCGAGAATAAAAGAGAGTGAAGCAACACCGTAATCACACCTAAACATATTGGTGTTCAAGGATGAAATCATGACAAACGAGCTAAAATTATAAAAAGTACTTCCCATAAATTTTTTGAGATGAGAAGAAACTCACTACTTCTCAGCATAAATTGTAATGGTTCATATGAAAATCCAGAGCTCAGCACACCGTAACCACAACTGCTGTGCTCCCCTGGTGTTTGCATGTTGAATATAGAGCATATATTCATCCTCAAAAAATAAGTTTACAACGGATTTTACTTTTGAAACTGATCAATAATGGCGAATTTGTCCACCAAATCCTGACTAGGTCTTGATGACGCTAAGATATTTGGTGTTATCCTAACTCGGTTAATAATAGAAAAACTACCATGTTGAGTACAATCCGTAAATTTGCATTTTTGAAACATCAAAGTGTGATGGTGGGTCACAATATTTACATTTTGACCCACCACGAAACAATGAACACAATTTTTTCTCTGGGATACCTTGTCTGACCTTATCAGAAATCGGAGAGTTCAAACTTTTCATATCACCATCTTTAATATTAGTTGTGACAATATTCTTACCATCGGAAATCAAATGTTTGTCATACTTTCCATCCCAGTTGAGATTTTCAAAAATGTACATCTGCTTACGATTTTGTAAAGTATCATTTCTGTGACCTGGTGAAATATGTGATCTGATGTATACAAACAAAGTTTGTGTCTTTAATACTAAGCGCTTGCCCGATCCACTTTAGTAATCCTGCTGACTCCTTAGTTCAAGCTTCATACGTTTACACTGCACTTGTGGATATGTGGTAAATACCAGTTTCTTTTGCTTTAATTCTGTTGAAGTGCAATGAGCGTGCCAATTTAGATTTATTTAGTCGAGGATGCATCACATGTTCCAGAAGAGTGTTGCTGCTGAGACTTTCAGTTGCTTGCAGTCAATAATTGACTGTGATAGTAAGCTATAACTATAATTCACTTCTTCAGTTCCCAGTGAGACATGAGGCTTCAGATGAATAGTGGAGTAAAAGTATAAAGTAGATAAAATAATTCAATTTAGTAGATTTGAAACCTTAACAGTGAGTTCAACTCAGTGAGCGAAAATCAAAATCAAGACTGATTAGAATGCTAAGCAGCAGAATTAAACACAAAAGCACACGAATAAAATAGTTATGGTTACCGGGGTAAGGAGAGATAAGCCACGCTGTTTTTCTACATACATAAGCTGGGTCGAAGTCTTTTGCTGGCAGTGGCTTCTGAGAACTAAAGTAGCCATGCTTTTCTTCCCATATTGGTTATTTTGAAAGCCTGACTAATTTCCACTGTGTTCTCCGTGTCAGTTGGGTGTCTGGCGCTTGCACTTGAGAACACAGCTGCCCTTCAAGCGGATATGCTCGGAGGGTCTAGCAGACGCTCTCCTCTCAGTCCTTCCTATTTACTTACTGCCACAAGTGCAGATGAATTGGCAAATGCAGTTGGAGTTGACATGAAGAGGATACTTATCTAATTTTGACTGGCTTAACGAGCATGCTGCTTTACTTTACTTCGACGTATGAACTATACAGCAACGGGTCTTCTCTAAGTCATATTTTTTGTCGAACGAAATCTCGTTCCGGCTTCTTGACAGTTAAATATAAACAAATATGGAACTTCTTGCCAAGTGAAATCAAAAACAGCACCACAATACAACGATTCACACATCTACTAAATAAATATTTCTACGAAAACAGCAGTTTGCCGCATGCTGAAAATTCGTGATATTGTTTCTTCCCCCTTCGACTTACGTACCTGAACAGCTCTGTTCACTCAGTGCATTAACATAAACGGTCAGTATTATCGGACATATTTATAATAATCAACGTTGAGCTAATTCTGTTCTGAGTTCCTGTTTTTAGTTGATTGAATTATTTGTTTAGTAAGCATCATCACAAAATATCCTCAATCTTTTCATACAAACCTGGAGTGGAATACACAGCCTGACATACTCACCATGAAACCTGCACCAAATCTACATGAACTACCCTCACAGCAATTTCATTTTCGTCTCCTGAAAAACTCTGCCAGCCTCATCTGTCATACCTTTTCAGTCATTCAACTCCATTTAACCCCAGCTGCTGACTGTCAAATTAACCGAATATTATGACGAACATCTCTGGCGACACTGTATTTTGGGCATTTCAGTGTGGTGAGAGTTCTACCTCAAGGTCGGGTAGCGAACAACCTGGATATGACCGGGATTAAAATATCCTGTGGTGACTAACTAATGTTGTGAGTAAATACCATCTACGTCTACGCAAATTCCAGCCCTACGCGGGATCGTCTAAAAAATCAGCTTAACTAAACCTTGAGTCTTAAATATTAACGGATTTTATTTTACTGTTCTGTTATTATAATCCTCTGTAGTCGAATTCTTCTGAACCATCTATTATAATTAACTACTCTCTTTTTATGCATATATATATACATAACTATGTACCTCTACGTATTTTTCTCTTCTCGTGCCATTTCATTTGTTAACCATATGTTTATAACTAAAATCTAGAAGGTAGACTACAAATTTCTGATTTCCTTAATTTTTTATTGTACATATATGTTTTTAAAATGCTGTTAGGGACGATACATACATGGCTGATTGAAATTATTCGCTCATACCATGAGTTTCGTTGAGTTAGCTGGTGAACGCAAAAACAGTCTATGTGACACATAACAATAAAAGATTTTTTCTGAAAACAGAAGGAGTATTTCGCTAGGGCCTAGCAGATTAAAAGGTGGGAGGGTGGTGACTACTATTCAGCGGATATGGTGGCGGGGATTTAAGAGAACCACCCTCATTTGTGGGAATGTGCTCTATTGCTGAGGCTTCTGAGTTTGGATAACTCCAACAAAATGAAAGAGAAAAACTGCCTGTATGCCACAGCTTGTGTGAAAACTCTCTGAAAACTAGCTCATGGTACGATTTCTCTACTTCAGAGAGACATCTAGCTGTATAAATCAGAACAACAGCATAAGTAAATATTATTATACTTTCTCTTTTCTTCTACATATTTTATGTACTTTGGCGTTTGGTCTTAACTTCTTCAGTTTCTCTTCCCAACACTACCCTATATATGTGTGAAAATCATTCATTTCTCCATAATTTTTTATTTTATTTTGTTATTATATTTTTTAGCTACCATAAACTTGAACTATCGGTTAGTATGTAACACTATAAAATTCAATGACTATAAATTCTTAGTCATAAAAGGGTAATGAACCTTGCGGTTACCGCATATTGTTTGTTTAAATTATTATTATTTGCTGGCTGCCTCTGCACCTCTCTTTCTGTTTTCTTCTTCCTTCTCTTCTCGAAGGTATTGCATTGAAGCACTGCAAATGAACAGTAATGCTGCTTTCTACGTTTGTATTACTTGGGCGTTATTCAGAATATTGTTGGCACACACGACGAACCGCGGAACAAATTCCATTCTGAATTCTGTTTATCATCGCAAAGTTGGCCCCTTGTATCTGTTAATACCAAAATAATGTTGTACTTACCCGCGACTGTGGAGTTTTATAAATTTTTGAACATTTATTAATTGACAAAATGATAATGATCACAAAGCCTGTATCCTGTATGTCTTACTCTAGCACATGTTTATCACCTCTCTTCTTACCTTCCATTAACGCAACATTTCGTAATTCCCGCATGGATCTGACTGACTATAAGTATATTGTAGACTATAAATTAGACTTGAACCAATATATTGTAATCTATTCTAACAAAGTTTCTAGAGGTTTTTTTCCATCTTTCCAATTTTTAATGTCAAAAAAGTGTTCCATTACAAATTGCACTTGTCGAATGTTACTACGACTGCTACAGCTCAACCTACTTATTTATTCGTTATGTGTAAACTTAATTTTACAGTATACGTTAACACCCGTTATCATAGGGACTGCTATAACGCTTTAATTTAAATATTAGTAATACACTGATTTGGAATACACCTAACCGTATACGAACTGGAACTGCAATGCAGTGCCTAAGTTCTACCTACTGTTGTCACTGTTCCATACAGACTTGCGTATGACTATGAGACGTTTTCACGTAACTGTAGACAGAGACTTAAGGGCCACTAAACTACTTATAATTCACCACGCATATCGGTCGATAGTGTTCCTACAGAATTACACTTAAGTATAGTAACGAGTTCAAGTCCTAGGGAGCACCGGTCTAGCATGCCGTGCTCACAAAGCGAATACATGAATTGAAAGACAACAAGATTTATACGAAAAGTTCATATTTATTATAATACAACATTAGTTTGTTTACATATTAAGAAAATGGTCCATTTGTGCGATTACTTCTCCCGCTTTCGGATGCGCACAAGTTACGAGACCATGTCCATCGTTGACACTTATGCAGCACATTATTAACTACAAAAGTTGGAAGAGTAAACAAAAATAGAATTATGCACACAATATTACAGGATAAATAATGCTCTCACTCGCATTGGCTACCTGAAATAAACTAAAAAGGCTTTGTCAATTAGTATCCATCTGTCTCACGACTGTTTCAATATAATTCCGTAGAAAAAGGAACATTGAAATACATCACTGAGCAATATCCACCGATAAAATGCTGCACGTATAACCTAAAATCGAGAAAAGCCAAAGAACTCACGGGTTCCTTGACATCGCCAGCAACCGATAGGCCAACAAACCGAGTGTATGATAAGCCAAGCCTTGTACATGCACAAATAAGTAAAAGAAAACGTTAGAATACTCAAATTTTACATTTATTTTCATCAAATATGCTTGTAAACAACGCATACCTCAAGCACACAAACCTGCAACGACATCACCTAACAAGGACAAATTACATATCAAATTAGCCACCACTGTTCCAGCCAATGAAAGACGAGAAAACCTGAGGCGCGAAAAAATTAACACGTCATAGAACACATCCTCACCCAAATATGATCATGCCTGTACAAACGGTATGTTAATCATGTAAATGCTTAATTTATGTGAAATATATATTATATTATATATTATATGAATAGCTTCATTCAACTCTGTCCTCTGTCATCAATTTCAGCACGTCCCACTGCTTTCGAAAGCCTTCATTTTCTTCTCCACATGATTCGCACCACCACCAGATGTCAAACACGTCACTTTTTATTTGGCTTACATTCAAAAATAGATATCATGGGAACATAACTGACAGGGGAAATGGTTTTAAGAGAGGAAAATAATATTCAGGAAGCACAAAGCGAAAGAGAGAAATACAAAACACTGTAAGAAGATTACCAACAGGTACTCGCAAAACTTAATACTTTCACCAGTTTTGAACTGTGAGAAGTTTGCTGTGCTGAATAATAATGTTTATGTGTTAGGAGTGTCTTCCTATGCCACAGAAAAAACTGTAGACAGAGTGGATCAGAAACTGTCAAAAACGCTTGATATAAGTATAAAACTTGGGCACTGTGGTAGAGTATAATTCCATAATGGATAAGATTTTATTTTGATAAATCACACAGTGTAGTACAGTTATATTAACTGATGACGTTTCGAGCACAAACTATTGCTCATAATGATATGATATGATTATGAGCAATAATTTGTGCTCGAAACGTCATCAGTTAATATAACTGTACT